GAGAGAGAGAGAGAGAGAGAGAGAGAGAGAGAGAGAGAGAGAGAGAGAGAGGCAGAAAGAGCGCCTCAAGGGGGAAGCGGTAGGTTCGTTCACCGGTGAGGCCGACCAGTGCCCCATAGCCTAGTAATAAGCCCGCGGTGGTGGAATTCGCGCGTCGCGTCCGCAAGAAGTATAAAACGCGTGACATTTGGCGCGGATTGTAAATAAGCCGTCGGTATGACGGGCGGCGCGGCTCAGGCGCGGCTCAGGCTCGCCGTGTGGTGCGTGAGTGCCCGCCGGTGCCCGCCGCCGCCCCGCCTCGGCCCCGCCCAGCATGATCGCTATGAGCGTTATTTTACCGTGTGAGCGAGATCGCCAACTCCGTATCAAGTTTTAAACTTCTAAGAGTTGCTCTCTACGCAGTAAAAACGCCGCTCGCCGCGCCGCAGTGTTGCCGCAGCCAGGTGGCGGCATGGCGAGGACCTGCTGTGTGGTCCGCGCCGCCCCCGGCCCGGCCCGTATGCCCTTTCCCCGGGGCGTGCGCTGGAGGGTCCCGCCAGCAGGGTCCCGCCAGGGTCCCCCGCCAGGGTCCGTGACATTCCCTGATTGGCCGGCGTGGTGTTCTCACGCTGCACAGCGGCCCTCACTGTGCGCCGCGCTGCCCAGCGGGTCATAAGGGTAATCGTCGCGGTCGTTTCCAGGGCCGCCGGGGATTGTTCGGTCACCGCGGTGGTGCGGCGGCGCGGGCTCGGCTCACGCGGCCGCTGATGAGGCCCTAAACGGGCAGCCCTGCTCAGCTCATGTCATGCATGCCTGGGGCTCCTTACGACACGGTCGTCGAGAGAGAAGGAAAAAAAATAGACCGGAAACGGATCAAAGACCGAAAGGTGCGTACGACGCTCGGAACTTAGGAATAATGGGCCGAACACAACAAGCACGCGACGAGCCAGCCCAGTCCACCTCTGTGGGAACCGCGTGTCCTTGACCCGCCCCCGGGAGTCCTTCGATGGGGTCCCCTCCTCTGTTTCCGCTCGGTGCTCCTCGTCCTTCGTTGTGATTGCTCTGTTACGAAAGGAGCTAGGCTCCCATTGTTTCCAACGTATTTTCAATGCGTTTTCTGTTTGTACATACTGTACTGCTTGAAGCATGAGACTTGAACTGCATGACGTTGGCAATGACAACACTCTGCTGCTGGGTATATTTCATTCGCATTTGCTGAAATTGATGAATTATTTTCAGCAGCAGCGTGTTCGACTACCACATAGACGTGTTGTACAGACTATGGGGTCTTGCACTTTATGGGTGACAGCCTGGACTCTGGACTTGACCATTTATATATATTGTATTTATCATTTACTTTGATTGATTTTAGTTCAAGGCGTAGAGGTTGCTCCACGCTATTATACTGGCTTTAGACGGCTGTAAAATGTAAAAAAAAATATAAGATATTTATTTTTATTTTTAAATGAACTTTTGGTATTTGACTTTGATTCAAAGCCGTCTATCGCTGCGTATCCTCTCTGGCTTGGTTTGTAGCTAAGGGTGTTTGTGGTGTGGTGTGCAGGCGGGGTGCACGGCGCTGCAGAGTGCGGCGGCGGAGGGGCACCTGGACCTGGTGAAGCAGCTGTTAAAGCACAGGGCCGACGTCAACATGCAGGACAACGGGGTAAGTAACCTCCTCCCTGTCTGGCATGAGCCCGACCGGAGGGAACGTGCTACTACCTCTACTCCAGCCGGTCGGGCTGGCTATGGCCCCGCATACGTTTAAATTCCCTAGAACCGCTTTTTTATTTTCTTTCCCCTCCACTCATATCTGCTTCTCTTCTCCCTTTTGTGATTTCGTAGAAGAAAATGAAACGCTAGTATATATTAAGCAGCGGCATATTTTAACATACCTCTCGATGCACGTTGGGCATGGCTATGGCTGGGCCGAGGTGGAGTCGCGGAGGCATGGCTGCTGGCCGCTGATCTTGCTCTTGCCCGGCTCGCTCGCTCTTGCCTCGGATCGTTCTTGCTCCGGGGCCCCGGCCGGGCCGGGCCGGGACGCATGCAGCGATTGAATCGGAGATTGTGTTGCGGTAATCTCCCCTCCCCCTCTTTCCTCCACTCATCCCATAGCACTTGCTCTCATTCATTTGGAATCGCAGCTGTTGCGGTTTGGAGCGTCATTACCCCCCCCCCCCCCTCTGCCTCTTCGTCTTTTACCCGGCAGCTCCCCTGCGGCCATCCACTGCGTGGGACCGCCGAGCACTTTGTCCCATGCCGGAAAATAAATGAGTAAAGTAAACAAATTAACTTGAGTATAAAGCTCGGCAGCAGGTTCACAATAAGGAAGTGTGTGGGAAAGGAAAAGAGGCATAAAATTAATAAACACTCCGCCCGTCGCGGTAGAGAGAGAGATAGAGAAAGAAGAGGGAAACACTGCGGCAGCAGGGCCTGTTTCCTCTTCTTTCTTCACTCGACGAAAAATATGTTTTGCACTATTCCATATGAAAATGATGTGTTGTGCTAATTTGACTCCATTCCGCAGCCGGGCAACACTGCGCTGCACGAGGCGTCCTGGAAGGGCTTCTCCCGGTGCGTGCAGGCGCTGTGCGCCGTGCGCGGCGCCGACCTGTCGCTGCGGAACCACGCGGGCTTCGCGCCGCTGCACCTCGCCTGTCAGAACGGACACAACCAGAGCTGCCGCGAGCTGCTGCTGGCGGGCTGCGACCCGGACGTCCGGAACAACGTGAGCAGAGCACCCCGACGACGTGCACGTACAAGTCGTAAAGTAACACGAGTGTCACGATAAGGTCATGAGCGGCATTGACGTCACTGTCCAAATAATGTCACAATTAACACGAGACGCGAATGCGATTCGATCGTATCGTGGCCGCTCCGTGCTGCTTTTGCGCCGGGACACACTTTCCCTTTGCTCACATCTGATTTGTTTTGTGACCCCCAGTACGGCGACACGCCCCTGCACACGAGCGCGCGGTACGGGCACGCGGGCGTCACCCGCATCCTGGTGAGCGCCGAGTGCAAGGTGTCGGAGCAGAACAAGAACGGCGACACTGCGCTGCACATCGCCGCCGCCATGGGCCGGCGCAAGCTCACCAGGATACTGCTGGAGGCCGGCTGCACCAAGAGCCTGCGGAACAAGGTGACGAAGCTAGGGCACCTCTCAAGCATGTTTCTGTAAGGATGCGGAAAAAAACGGGTAAACTGCCGACTCACACAATCTAACAAACCTATTCCATTGTGTTCCGCAGCAAGGGGAGACGGCGCGGGACATCGCGACTCGCAAGGAGCTGTCCGAGATCCTCAGCATCCTCAACAACCCCGTGATCCCGATGCCGCGGAATAAGGACGTCGGCAAGGAGCCTGCCACCAGCAAGGAGAATGCCACCAAGAAAAAGGTGGGTACTTTACGGGTACGGGACGTCGAGTCTGTGTAAAAGCGGAGAAACCCCGCGTTTTACTCCGAGTGAGTCAACACAAGACTAGAGTTGTGGTGGATACGAAGAGATTTTGTCGGTATGGGTGCCCCGATGACTGTGTATCCACAACAAACATAGACTTCCCGCCCGTGTTCCGGGTGGTGTACGTTGGGTTGTCTAACTATCGGCGCCGCGTGGGGCCAGAAGACTCGCCTGTCGGGCGGGCAACCCATTCGACTCGTTGCCTCCGTCACAAACAGTGTGTCGCACATTGAGCTTATGCGAGCGAGATTTTTCTTTAAATTCATAGCTTTAATTTTGAGTCATTTTATGCAAGAAACACCATAAGGAATAGATGGCTTTTCCCTTTTCTAGGCATAATACCTCTGTAAGTCTACAGGAAACTTGCGATTGCGAGCGAAGCGAGGTGGAAGCTAGAATGACACCTATGTATTTTACACCATTTACACCATTTACTCCATAGAAGCATCTGATGCTCGCTCTTTGCAGGGCTCTGGTCACAAACACTTTCCATCGCTCTTTCTAATCTCTCATTTACCTTATTCTTTGCAGAAGAAGGGTTCTGGCGGTCGCTCTGGCCGGAACTCGGGATCCCGTTCTGGATCTCGAGGGTCACGCTCAGGGGCGGGCGGCGGTCCTGGGGGCGTCCCGGGCAGCGGTGCGGTCCAGGGCGGAGCGGTGCAGGGGGCGGCAGGCGCGGCCCCGGGGGCCGGCACGGCGTGGTCGCCGTACGGCTGCCACTACTACCCGGACACGTCCTCCTTTCCTCAACCCCGGCTGGACTCGCTGCCCCCCGAGCCGCTGCGCAAGGGCGAGCAGTACTACCTGGACCTGGCGGGCAACATCCGCAAGGGCCCCGTGGGCGTGGGCTACACGTGCTACTGCGCGCCCTTCTTCCGGCACATGGAGCAGCGGCTGGACCGCGACAAGCAGGACCTGAAGAAGCACATCAACCAGGCGGTGGAGGGGCTGGAGCGGCGCACGCAGGGCCACATCTCCCAGCTGACGCGCTCCTTGGCGGCGGAGCGCGCGCGCTGCTCGCAGCGACACCTGCACCTGCAGCAATGGCTGCGCGGGGTGGGCGGCGCGGCCGGCGCCGTGGCCCGCACCCCGTCCGTGCCGCGCGCGCGCAGCGTCGACTCGCTGCTGGAGCGCCCGCTGCACCACGTCGAACTGGACTCCGCGGCCGAGGCCGCCGACCGCAACGGCAACGGTGACATCGGCGAGGAGATCGAGGTGCTGTCCGAGGGCGACAACACGGCCCGGCGCAAGGAGAGCTTCCTGCGGCGCGGCGGCCGAGGTAAACTGCCCCGGCTGCGGCCTGGCCTTAGCTGGGACCTGCTGGCCGAGGCCGACAAGGTGCTGGCCGCCACCGACCCCACGCACAACCCCGGCCACGACCCGCTGCTCAGCGCGGCGCGGCTGCAGTCCCGCGCGCGCCGCGTGCAGCACATGGTGGAGGCCATGGCGCAGCAGCAACACCCGCTGGACGCCGGTGGGCTGTCCGACCACCCCGAGCTAGAGGTCCTCGACGAGGTATGATTCAGAGCGTCGGCGCATCGCTCTGCGAGTTCCAAAATGAAATCCCCTCAGCCATATTAACTCTTTTTATTTTTCCCGTTGCAGCGCGTGTCGCAGTGGCGAGGTCAGCAGCGGAGACTCATGTTGGAGGTGGCGCGCGCGAGCAGGGAGATCGCGCAGCTGAAGAGAGTCACGAGTCGGGACCGCGGCCGGGGCAGCTCCGGCTCCGAGCTGGAGAGTCGCGGGGGCAGCGGCAGCCGCGCCGGCCGGGAGAGCCGGGGCAGCCGGGGCAGCAGGGGCAGCAAGGGCGCGGGCCGCCGTCTGCAGACGCTGGACCAGGTGGACGAGGGCGGCAGGCTGTCTCCAGGGCTCAGCTCAGGCGTGAGCCAGGGCCCCGCCAGAAGCTCGGTGCAGTACCTGCACGCCGAGGTGCACGCGCCACCCAAGACCCCCGAGGAGACCCCCGGCCGCAGGCGCAGCCGCAGCCAGGAGCTGCTGCGCGTCGAGCCCGCGGTGGTGTCCTCGCGGTCGCCCACCCCACCCTTGGGCGTGGGCGCCGGCGGCTCCTCGTCGCCATCACCGTCCCCGGTGCCCTGCTCGCCCGCGGCGCGAGCTGCCCGCTGGCACGGCGTGAGCGTCACCGCGGAGGACATCGAGAACTGGCGCCGGTTGGACAGATTGCGCGACCTAGAACAGGAGCAGGAGCAGGACGAGAGCGGGGGCATGGTGACCAACCCGGACTACGAGGTGCAGGTCGAGGACGGCATCATCTTCAGCTCGGATCTGCGGGACCTCCGGGACCTGGACCCGCGTCTGCCCCCGCTGCCCCAGCCGCAGCAGCCGACGGCGGCCATGCGGAGCCAGCAGAACCTGGTCGTGGAGCCTCCCGGCCCCGCCAAGGCCATCTCCAACGCGCCGCCCCCGGCCGCCGCCGTCCTGCACCCAAAGCCCAAGTTCGCCACACCCTTTCAGGTCTCCCTCAGCTCCAAGGGCCCGCAGGGTCCCAAGGGAGAGGTGGTGCCGCTCCCTCGCGGCATGCCGGCGGCCAGCTCCCCTCCTGTCGGCCCCCTGACCAACGGCGCGCCAGTGCCGCTCAAGCGCGCCACGACGGACACCTCAAGCACCGGCCCCGCCGTACCCGCGCACGTACCGCTCCGCAAGTCTGTCCACGACATGGTGGCCCGCATTCAGACTCACATGCTGAATAACCTGAAGGGCAAGCACGGCAAGCAGGCGCAGACCGCCAAGGCCAAGGACGACGTCGTGTCCTCGGCGGCGGCCCCCGCGCACCTGAAGGTCTCCACCACCGCCGGCCCTGCTGCTCACGCCGTCCCGCTCTCCACCCCTAGGGAGATGGCCATCGATGTGGGCGACTGCGTGCAGGTCCAGGCCCGGCGCGTGCAGGCGTGCCACCGCGACGACGACTCCGAGTCCAGTGACGGTGAGGACGCGGATGGCGCGCCCAGGACGGGCCTCGGCCTCGGCCCCGACTACGAGAACGTGTCGCCCTGCTGGAGAGACGGACGTGAACCCCGGCCCCGCATCCTCGTCTCGGACCTGCCGTACCGCAGCCGCACGGCTGTGTACAGCACGGACGTGGGCCCGGACTTCCTGGACATACCATTGACCAACGGCCATACCATCGGCATCAATGGTCAAAACCACGGTCTTAATGGCCACGCTGTGAACGGTCATGGTATGAACGGACATGGTCTGAACGGCCATGGTCTGAATAACCATAGCTTGAACGGCCACACTCTTCGCATCAACGGGCACGGGCTCGGCCTCAACGGGCACGGCCACGACCAGGATCCAAGGGGCACGCCCAACGGCACGAGGGGCGCTTCCCACCCGCTCACGCTCAGTCACCCCCTGAGCCTGGGGAGTCTCAACGGCCTGGCGCACCACCACAGTCCCGCCGGCACGCCGGACCTCGAGCTGGAGGTGCACGCCGTGCACGGCCTCGGCCACCCCTTCCACCACTACCCCTACACGGCGGGCAGCGGGAGCGGCAGTGGCATGTACTCGCCCGACCACGGCGATTCGGGGTACTCCACCAGGATGGGAGGCAGTTCCAACTCCAAGGGAACTTCGCCTTCGTTGTCAGGTATGTCAATGTTTTCCAACCGTTCGAGTACTGTAAAATGATTTCCCGCCATTCATTGCTTTGTCAAGACTGGACGCACGACGCAAGTAAGATTTCTGTGAACTGATGAATTCTTCTCTTTTCATAGGACTCGACAGTGATGGTCTTCTGCAAAACTCTGCTCCAAGAAGTGCTGCTGCCCTAAATATAGCAAATGCTGCTGCTGCCATAGTGCACCAAAGGCACACAAATGCAAGTCTTGTATAAATGTGTATTTTTTGTTATTGAATATGCTCAGTGTTCCTTACTTTGAATACTTTTTTCTAAAGTGTATATACTCCATTTCTATTTGTAGAACTTGTTATAAATATTTAAATCTATCATGCTAAAATGGGCTTGTTAAATTATTGTGTTTTGTTTTTTTTTAACTATTGAATGGAAAATAAACAAATTCTCTATTATGTGGTACTTGAAGTTTTCAAGATCTCTGACTATTATTGGAAACAAATCTGATACTAATCCGATACTAATACAATCATATATTTTAACAACAATTACATCATAATATGTGCAAGATCATGCAAATGCCTGATGAGTTCTTGAGGCACCTTGTGGTTTCACAATACCTTCATTCAGTGTTGTATGGTATAATCCTCTGCCCATCAATACATTGGCAGTTCTTTCGACCTAAGACAGAAAAATAAAATATAACAGGACATTTTGAAGAATAGTTTGTGAGACTCTAGGATGGTCAAATATAATTTTTCTTGGACAAAGTGTTACCTCAACCACAACATAGTCTCCTGGCTTTATTTTTGATTTTTCTGAAGAATTATATGATACAGGTATCTCCTCATTAGGCAAAATAACAATTACATTGCCATCGTTGCGCCCTTTCAAATCAACACTGCCTCGTCTGCTGATCTAAAAATAAAAATAGAAATCGTAATAGAGTGAACAAATTAACAGAGGTGTTCTCTTATTAAATGTGGTGAATTCAGCAGATAGTCATCACTTACTCCTTCAACAAGAACCAGCTCCAGCTCTCCTATCCTCTTACTTTTGAGTGCTTTGGACTTTGAATAAAATAACTCAGTCATTTCTTTTAAGCGTCTATGTTTAACTTCATCTGGAACATCATCTTTGTATCTTCTATGAGCAGTGGTTTTCTGTTACAATGAAATCATAGCATTATTGTGAACGGTACAAAAAAGATTTACAGTATATATTTCATTGGGATTTTTAGTATTACCTCTCTCATACTGTAGGCAAAGAGAAAACCTGTAGTGTATGGAACCTGATCAATTAAACTCAAGGTATCCGCAAACTGCTCCTCTGTTTCACCACAGAAACCAGCAATAAAATCACTAGATAATGTTACATCTGGAAGTATACTCCGTATATTATTAATAAGTTCCATGTAGGAATCACGAGAGTATCCTCTGCGCATTCTTTCAAGTACTTCGCTATTCCCACTCTGTGCAGGAATATGCAGAGATGAGCAAATATTTTGTCGCTCACGGATAAGGTGAAGCACCTTGAAAAAAATAACAATATATTTAAAGGGCGAAAAAAGACGAAACCCAGAAGAAATAAAACAAACAAAAACGGCACTACAAGCCATACCTCATCAGGGAAATCCTTTGGATGTGGAGAAGTGAAGCGAATACGCATTTCAGGATCTATCCTAGAAACTTGATCAAGAAGATCAGCAAACCGTGTTCCACCTTTCTTTGCTTTATACACAGTTTTAAATCCTTTTGCTAAATGAGTGGGCTCATCTTTTTCCAACCCACCATAATGGGCAACTGATGTTTTGTCACAGTAGCTGTTAACATTTTGACCTGTTTTCACAGTTAATGAAGAATTTCGTATAGTTAAATACATTTGAATGAGGATTTAGAAAATATTTATTTACACAATAACTCAAAGGTTGTGTTGGAGCTTACCAAGAAGTGTAACCTCTTTAACTCCTTGCCCAGATAAATTGCGAACTTCTTCCAAAATTGAGTCCATGGGCCTGGATCTTTCACGTCCACGTGTGAAAGGGACAATACAGTAGGTGCACATGTTATCACAACCTCGCATAATTGATCTGAAAAGATAAAAAAAAGAAGATTAAAGAAACAATTCATAATGACAAAATCTCTTAAGTCAATTTGAAGAGCTCACACAAAAGCTGAAACAGAATCCTGGTTGAGTCGAACTGGCATTATATCTGCATAGGTTTCATCCAAAGAAAGCAGAACATTGACAGCTTTCTGGTCATTATTTGTTAATGCCAGTAATCTAGGTAGATCTTTGTAACTATCAGGACCAGCAACTAGATCTACTGACTTATCTTTTTCCAGTAAGGTCTCTTTAAGTCTCTCAGCCATGCAACCTGACAAGTACATAAAGGCAAACTTACTCTCAGTGGACAGATACAATTAGCATTAAAAAACTACGTAAGTAAAATCAAGCTACTTACCTAACACGCCAATTTTTAGAGGAAATTCTGACCTTGGCCGTTTATTCTTCAATCCATTACAGTAATCAAGGAAATTCCATATTTTTGTTTCTGCTTTGTCACGGATGGAACATGTCATGGTCAGAATAACATCGGCCTCCTCTACAATCTCAGTTCTCTCAAATCCTACACCTTTCAGAATTGCCCAAACAATTTCTACATCATTAACATTCATTTGGCATCCCTTGATATGAAAGTAAACTGGAAAATAAATAATAATACTTTAGATCCATTTTCAAAGAGAGTCACTTTAAATTTAGAAGACTGTTGGGTTATCTCACTTTTTCTACCCATTCCTCGAAAACATTCTTGAGTGAGATATGGTGCAATATCTGCCTCAGTATTTATTTTGTCTCCAGCCGGAGCTGAGCTTGCAATAAAATCTTGCAGAGATGGTCCACTTTTAAGGCTTTTCCCAGAGAGATTGCTACTGCAACGAGACTGTGTTGACCATAATGATTTTGAGAACGTTGTAGAGAACAGAGCATTTTGGCTTGAAAATTGCCCATGACAGTGGAACGCAATGGGAACATTTTTGGGGCTATAACGTTGAACTAGACCCTCAATTACTTGAAATGTAACCTTTCGATGCATTTTATAAAATGAACGTCTGAAAGAAGGAGCAACTACGTCAGTAACAAAATTTGAAAGCATAAAAAAATAAACAAATATACCAGGGAAACTAACCCCAAGGATATTACAAAACATAAAGTTCGCTCAGATTAATCGGTTGTCGCTCATCAGAGATCTGATCAACGGCATCATTTTCAATTTACTTTTGTTTTTTCAACGTGTCATTCAGTTTGTAAACATTTCGTCTTCGTTCAAAATTTCAAAAGGGGCCTTCACTACAAGCAGCAGAAGTTAATGATACATGCTCTGTTAGTTAGGTTATAGTTATTTTCAGGTTTCGGTTTCACTGTTTGATTTATTTGCAGAATAAACAGTAAGTTGTAGTGGCGGGAAACCTTGAATTCTATGGAATAGTTCTATTCATTTATTCTTTTGCTATCGACGAAGAAAAGATATCCAAGTGAAAAGTGGATCGAAAACACAGAAAAATACACAAATACACAATCCCCTGTGGGCAGGTCGACCAGTGCTTCACGTCACTTCTGCCTGCATTCCTGCCGATGGCAGGGAAGTCCAATGGCGGAATACTAGGGCGGCTATCGTAACATCGTTACGTAGGAGAAGTAGGAAAATTGTTTCTTTCATTGAATGAAATGTCATTGAAGAATTGAGTATATCGTATCGAAGTAAGTTTTCAAAGCAATAAAGTTCTTTAATTTGTAGAAGTTCACTTCTCGTGACTCGTGAAACCCAAGAACACATGCAAGGTGCTGATACCGTCCTTTTTATTTTGTTTACTGTACCGCATGCAGGCGTGCGGGCGGGCTTGACTACAGTCGCTCACCTTCCGGCCCCGTGCGAGTGTGCAACCCACCCGCACGCCCGCTTCTGACACATAGGAAAAATAAAGGGAGGAGTCTCGTGGACCACCTGTATGTGTGCAGTATATACAGCATATTGATTCAAGGGTGAACGTGGATGATGAAGTTTGGGTTATTTGGATGAGTGGCGTTATTGTTCGAACTATATCATTTTTGACGGGAACTCTATCTTTACCAAGGCCAGGGTGAAAGAAGTGAACCCTCTATAGGTTGTCCCTGCATAGGCCCCGGGCCCCGTACGGTTCAGTCGGGTTCAGTCGGTTCAGTGATTGCTATGGGCCCGTCGCTTTGCGATCGTCCAGAAAGGAAGTCCGATTTCCTCAGATTCGTTCGTTAAATTTCTGGAGCTCGGCGCCTGCGAAAGCCAGGGTAGGCAAACCAGCAGTGCACGTGTGCGCTGCAGGAGAGATGTTGCCTACCAATCAGGCGCTATGAGAGCTTCCATTGGCTGAACTGGGCAGTTTCGTAACGGCGGCAGAAGGCAGACGTACTTTCTGGATCATCTCTCAGCTACCTAAGGGACGGGTGAGTGACGCGTGACGGTAGCGAGCGGAGGAGCGTTGCAGCGCTACCGCTATCCGACCAAACCAGCTCCCTCCTCCTCCTCCCGGGAAAAGCTTGAGTGACTTTTGGGTCGCGCATGTTACACTAAATAAGAGATGTGTTAAGAATTGACTTTGGCTCCATGGTGATGCATACACACCGTTACCAAACGGTATTTCATCGCCAACAATGTTTTCCTCTGCATTCCCCATTCCTTCACCCTTCGGTTTGTTCTCCAGCGCGTTTCACCCTCGCACTGCCGTGCCGCGCGTACTCCTACTCCAACCGGCCCGATCCGGTTCTGATCCGCTTCTCCAGCGGGAGAAAGACGCAGAGGGAGAGAGAGGGCGCGCTATCGATCTCCCACTCACTCCACTCCCGCGTCCCGTCCCGCGGGCTCTGCGCCTGGCCTGGCCCCGCAACCGGGCCCCTCGGCCGCGGCGCGGGGAGCGGGTCGCGCACTACCCCTCCGTCCAGAACTGTTTTTGTAAACTTTTGAACAAGCCGTGGTCACTGATTCCTCCCCCCCCCCTCTCCTCCAGCGCCCTCCCTCCCTCCCCTCCCTCGGCTCTCCTGGTGTGAGTACCAACCACAAGGGTGCGGGCGCAAACCAACCTGGCTCGGAGGGAATTGGCTGACGGAGTTTGGAGAGGAAAGGATGCGCGACATCTGTTGGAGTTATTGGGGGGAAAGGGGATGGGAGCACGGAGGAAGGCCATCCCAGTCGATCGATGTACAGTGGTCCGCTGGCAAGCCTCCCCCACCTCCCCCGCCCGCCCCGCTCGGTCCGGAGAGAGAATCTGGGTCATGCAGCAGCCCACCAGAGCCTCCGGCGGCCGACGAGTCCCACCTCGGCGGACCAACATTGAACTTCCGGTGGCCCTCGTTGTCGTTTTGGGCAAGGATTCCCTCGTGTCATTTGGGCGTAGAATTCATCAAGCCGTGTAATTCACCATGGCGTTTGGGCGTGGACTTCCCGTTGGACGGACTCGGACACAGGCGTGCAGCCGGGTCGGGCCGCGGCCGGAGTTGCCAAAGGTCTTTCTCAGGAGAGGGAGGAGGGCGTTTATTGTATCACGCTGGGCGGAGGCTGCCCCGCCGCCGCTGCGCTCGACGCGCGTGCCTCGCTCTGCGACCCGCCGCGTCACGCTCGCCGCGACCCAAACTCCAGCGGCGTGGGCGAGGTCGAGGTCACAAGGCGGGAGGCGCGGCATAGAGCGAGCTCGCGCTTCTGTAGACCTGCAGCAGACAGCCAGCCGGTTCAGCTTCAGTAAATGCGCCTGCCAGTTTCACGTACTGGTGAACTTGGAACAGGCTCGTCCTGGCCTGGCTCATCTAGCCTGGACCAGCCCGATAGCTGGCCTGGCAGGCCCAACGCTAGCAGGCGTGCAAGTCTGAGACCAATTGAGCGTGTGAGAGCGAGGTGGGGGGGGGGGGGCAGTCGGGTCGAGTGGTGCTCTCTGCAACTTTGTGTGGGTCTGGAGAGCTGGAGAGGCGGGCGCGGCCTGCTTGCTCAAGTGGCGGCCGATGATGGAGGCGCTTAAAAACGGCATCAAATAATCATCACGGTGTCATAAATTACATTGGACGCTCCCTTTGGACGTTGGCGCCGGCCGCCTCCACGCGCTCAGGGGAATTAGGTGCTCGCGCTCGCGTCCATGTCGATATCAATTAGCAATCTTGATGTCCAGGAGATGTCGTCGCAGCGCGTTCTTGACCTGTTTGTGAAATTGGGCGTTGTAGACGAGGATGGCACCGCGCGCTGGCCAGGACGGCGGCGGTGACTGACCAGAACGCAGAAGTCTGCTGCACCGCGCGATGATACGCCCCGGTCCCGGTGGGGGCGGCGGGAGGGGGAGAGGGAATCAGCTGAGCGGCCCCACGCGCGCGCGCCACTCCCGGGGAGGGGGAGGGGGCCTCGTACGCTGCGCCCACCCGCCGCCGCCGCCGCTCGCCGCTCGCTCAGTGTTCGCCAAGCGTCCGCCGCGATCAGTTCTCTCCCGGCGCGAGCCAGCCCGCCCCGCAGCCGCACTCCCGCAGCCGCACTCCTTTCGCCCAGACTTCCTCCTGCTCTCGGCAGGACCCCACCGTCGAGACGACGAACTCACCGGCCAGGTAGGCGCAGGCAGTACGAGCATATAGGCCGCCGTGGTGAGGGCGCGAGCGGGCTGGGGGTGGATCCAGGGGGACCTCGTCCACCCGGAGGGTGGCGCGCTTGTTTGGGGTGAAGGACCTCGCATCACCCCTCGTCGAGGGTAGGGGCGGTAAACACGTACCCGTCTTTGGGAGGGGGGAATCGAAGTCGGCTGAACTGCGTTTGCCGCTGGAGCAGGCAGGCGGGGTAGCCGCGGGGGAGGCGGAGCGGGAGTCTGGGGCAGCTAGGGGGCAGCAGTGACAATGCACCAGTGTAACCGCCCGATGCCCCCACTGATCACCGCGTTCACCCACATAGGTGGTCGGAGATCTATAGGTCTTGGTTGTCGCGGCATCATCACCATTTTCCCACTCACTAGTACTCATCTCGGTGTCGTGAGCTCTGGAACGTTTTTAGCACCAGCACGTTGGTTGTTATTGTGGTCAAATTAAGCGGAGGATGATTGTTTTATTGTTCGCGTTACGCGCCAAAGAACAAACGGCATCGAGTTATAATTCCCCCTGCACCATTTGCTCGGGCAGTTATATAGAAGTAAAGAAAAGGGGGTGGGGTGGAGGAAGGGGCGCAGTGGAGGGCGAGAGGGATGGAGAGAGAGAAAGGGGGGAACAGAGAGAGAAAGAGAAAGGGGGAGAGAGGGAGAGGAAGAGAGCGGAGGGACCGGCGGGGAGAACCACCCCTGCTGCTTTCGATGTCAGTGTGACACCCCCCGCCCCCGCGCCGCCCCCGCGCCCTCCACCCTCTGTGTTATCAGTGGCGCGGCTGGCGCGCTGGCGGGGGGCCTGGCGGGCCGGGGCCGCTCGATGGCGGTAGCCAAGCCCTCCGCCGCGCCGCCCCCCGCTCCCTCCCCTGCCGCCCTCCGGGGAAGGACGCCGAGGGGGAAGTTTGTCGGGCCGGAGAGGGGAGCCGGAGGGCGGGCGGGAAGGGGGAAGGGGGTCGGTCTAACGACGCCACCGCCTCGCCCGTGAGCACAGCACCTCCGCCCGGTCATGTGAGCGGGCTGCATTTTACATGGCGCGCTAGAAAATAATGAATGAGGGGGTGGCAGCAGCCGCCCGGCTAGCGCCCCGGCTAGCGGCCCCCCGGCGCCCCGTGTATGGACGGAGGGGAGCTGGCCACGCGCCGCTTGGGCGTGCAGCTCTGCAGCTCCCGCACGTCCGGCGGGCGGGGCGGGTGAACGCCTGCCAGGCCAGCGCCGTGCAGAGGGGGACCCATTACGGCAGTTTGGTGGTTTAACAACGACGATTTACGGGCGAGTTCGCAGCTTTTGATGCCATTAAGATTATACCGGAGCGCGGGGGGCGAGGCGGGGCGTGGCGGGCGGGCGGGGAGTCTAGACTCACGCACAGCGGGGTCTCGCCCTGGCCCGGGCCCGGCAAGCCAAGGCGCTGCCGCTGCGGGTCCCGCCGAGCCTTGCTGCCCGGTGTACTTCTCAGCACCAGTGGCGAGCGGACCATGGAATCTGCAATCTGCGTTTGTAAATGTTCGAGATATCGGTCTGGAGGCAGTGTTTCCGGAGGAAGGGACGGGGACTTTGGGGATGTTCACGTTAATTGTTCTCTAGGGATGGGTAAAGAAGGAGGGGAGGAGGGATTGGTGGGGCTAGGGGTTTCACTTTGCATAACGATCATGTTATTACATTACAGCACCCTGGGGGAGTTCGGCTGCCGTGGGTTGGGGGAGAGGAGGGGGGGGGGGGAGATAGCGCAAGGGTTAAGGTCCGGTACGGCCGTGCCTTACCACTGGTTTGC